TGTGTGTGTGTGTGTGTGTGTGTGTGTGTGTGTGTGTGTGTGTGTGTTTGTGTGTGCGTACACATGACTGAGTGTGTGCATGTGCAGAAAAGTGAGAGAGGTCAAATCAGCCTTCCATATCAAGTCCTTTTTTCTGCCTTCCCCCCAAAATGTGCCCTTCTTCCTTCTGTAACAGCTGCTGGTTCTGGGAGTGTTTGGACCTCTTTAAACTCAAAGGAAAGCAACATGAAGGTTCCCTCATGTGGCGCAGCGGTGGTGGAGCAGAACGGAGAGGTGGGTTCCAAGTGGCACCCCACCGCCGGTCATGGCTGGGGACTGGGAGGCAAACCTTGCAAGCCACCCTGTAGGGGCAGTTCTCTCCCAGGCCCAGAGGCGGCGAGATCACCCGCACTAATTTGTACATATCCTTATACGGGATCCTGCCGCTGTAAAGGAAGCACAGGTGGGTTAATAGGACACTCAGAGAAGGGTGGGGAAGACAGGACAGTTTAGCCATGATGTTGAGGGCTGGAAGAGGGAGAGCAGCTTTTTCTCTCCGGCCTGGTAAAACCCAACCAGGAGAGACTGAGAGCAGTGAGCCTCAGAGAACCATCACCTTGCTGAACTGCACTGCCCCCGATTTTCTAAGGAAATCAGAACCCGTCCAGTGCCCAGAGGGGCTGCTGCATGACCAAGAGCACCCCGAGACACCTATCTGGCCCACACTTCGTCAGATGCAGAAAATGGACTCTGGCTCGAGCCAGGCCTTGAAGAGCACAGCCTGAGAGTTCACACAAATGCCTCTGACAGCTGTCAAGAGCAGATGCCAGGCTGCCGTGAAGTGGACTGCCCAACTGTTTGCTTTTCGCAGACATTGATTACAGTCGGTTACTCAGACCCGCTTGTCAGGGGCAGTGGGAAGTCAGCATCTTTCCGCAGACTGTGAGAGACAAATTTCCCATTAGGCTAATTAGCAAGGAGCTCAGTTGGCACAAGGGAATTTGCAAAGGGCTTTGCTTCTCTTGGTGGCAGATTGTTCCCGAGTTCAGCCTGGGCGAGCTCTGCTCCCTCGGTGGGAGCCCGCCTGGATCTGTGCTGGGAGAGCAGCCTGGCAGGGAGCCGTGGACACTCTCCTTCCGGCTCTGCTCCTGCCGGCCAGCCCACAGGCAGCCTGGTCAGATCCAGCCAGAATTCTAGGAACGAGGTGACCTATCTCACCAACCTTCTTTCACAAGGGCCTGCTAGAGAGTCCTGGCTTTCCGTGAGAAGGACAGAATCAACAACTGATTCCTTTTCAGCAGCTAAAGCGTCTGCTCTTTCAGAGACCAGAGCAAGGAAGCAACATCCCAGTATGGACCACGGTTTCCACTGGAAATTATAAACACACATGTCCACCTCTGAGCATCCAGTCCTTGCCAGCTGCCACGTGAGGCTTTGCCCCAGCTTTACTCTTTCCAGCCTTTTTTTGATTTTGGTGTTAATTCCTCCTCTTTTTCTAAATAACAGCTCATCGGTACTTCAAGTCTCTTGATTCTTGAGAGGAAGTTCATTTAACCATTTGCTCTTTGTTTCTTACTGAGATTGGGATGCGGGTGGGTTGGTACTGCCTATAGGCTGGTGTTCCCTGCATCCTGTATGAGTCTTCTTTTTGAACACATTGGCTCACGTTATCCCTGTTAGTTCTTTCCCCGGCACCTCAAAAAGAAGGCCAATGAAACTCTAACCAGAACATGACGCTGTGAATTTCAAAGCAGAAGAGATTCTCCATTCTATTTTTGCTCTCTCACAGCTCCTATACCTGAGTCTCATGGTTTTTTTGTTTGTTTGTTTGTTTGTTTGTTGTAGTCCTCATGGAATCATTTCTTCCCAGCAGCCAGAATGAGTCGGGAGGAACACATTTAATGCACATAGTATTTGGGTCCCAAGATAATATGAAAGCACAGGAAGCTGTGGTTTCAGAGAGCTAAAGACACCTGAGTGAGGCCAGGCGAGCAATGAACTTCTCTGCTAGCAGTTCTCCTCTCAGGTTGAGTGAAGACATCCCTTCTCAGGCTCCCAATCCCATGGCCATCCATGCTTTCCAAACCAATTTTCCATAGTTTCTGGTTGTTTTCCTGTATAGTTATTGTCAGTTATAACAACAGTTACATACATGATTTCATATCATCCTACTACCACCCTTCAAAGCAGGCAGGTATCAACACCATTTACAGATGAGGAAGCTCAGAGTAGTTAAGTGACTTGTCCAAGGCCACAGGGCTGATTTGATGCAAGCCCTGGCTACATTCCCTCTAGCACAGCACCCATGGCTTTCCAAGCAGCGCATCTACCAGAAAGTAGATCCAGAGAGGAAAAGCCGTTGCTCAGCCATCGTGATAGGAATGGATTTAGAGAACTCTGTGCCCTAAGTCATTAATAATTACTGAGGGGAAGAGGAATTCTGATTCACTCTTCTGACATTTGACCCAAGTTCAACAGCCTCACAGGAGGGAAGATTTTAGGATGAGTCTCAGATTATGAAGGGGCTCCAGGTGGAAGCAACGTGGGCCATTCCTGTGAAGGATGGCATTTCTTGTAGTGTTTTCAGAGGGGGACCAGAATGGGTAGATTGGTGAGATAAGATCCTAGAACTAAAATGACATGGGACAGAAAAGTTCCTGTGAAGGAAAGTGCTTATAGAACAGTCACCCTGTCCTCAACCGTGAGGGGCCAAAATGCTGTCTCTGTCCTCTAAAGCAGGGATCGGCAAACTTATTTGGTAAAGGATCAGGTAATGCTTTGTATTTTGAGGGTCACACTGTCTTTGTCACAACTACACAACTCTTCCTTATGGTGTGAAAGCTGCCACAGACTATACATAAATGAGTGGATGGCTGTGTTCTAATAAGCTTTACTCACACAAACAGGCAGTGGACCATGTTTAGCCTTGAAGCTGAAGTTTGCCAACCCCTGCTCGGAAGCCCAGGAGGCACATCATCTGAGAAATACTGGACGGTGAAAGAAATCGGGGGAGGTTATTCATGCAAATTCCTGCCATTTAATTCAATTCTGTATATAAAAATCCTTAAGTGTTTAGGGGATCAGTTGGAAGAACAGCCTGCTCAGTTTTCTACATAATTTTAGTCAATCTCAAACCATGTCTTTCGAGAGGGATGAGGGAGATAAAATGCTAATGTCACTTACTGTGATGGCCAGATGTTCTGGCCCAGAAGACCCCTGTCAACCCACCCCTCTCCCCGCCCCAATGACTCAAAGGAGTCCACTAACCACTGGTAGGGAAGGAAAAGAAAAAGATTACTGGAAGCCCCTCTGGTGATTGAAACCAAGCACTCTGAGGTGCAGACTGTGTGATGAGATTGGCAAAGAAAAGGAAGGCCTGTCACAGGAGGAATGAGAGGGAAAAGGACGATAAAGAAGCTATGTTTTTGTTGGCTGGCTGGATGCCAGAGCCAATCTGAGGGCCTGAGCTCTTCCCCAGGCCAGGACTGAGAGGAATCTCCTCTCCTTCTGTAACAGGCAGACCTTTAGGTGGCTCTGGTTCCAACCCCTTCCTTGGGAACCCCACAGGCCCTTGCTATGGGCCCCACTGGGATGGTCGAGAGGCCTACGCACCATGCAGCTCTGTCATATTCTGCCCAGACGCGGACAAACTCGTCCAAGTGGTGAGGCCCTAGGATGGATGAGTCCCGAGTCAGGTACTCAAAGTTGTCCATGATGACGGCCACAAACAGGTTGAGCATCTGGAGGGCATGGGGGAGAAGAGGAATTAGGTAGTGCAAACAAACCTAACACAGTAAAACAGGTTTCAAGGCCAATAAAGAATTCAAAAGTGTGTGAGGCCGAAGTTCCTAACTAAAGCCCTATTCATCTTGTTGAATGCCACGTGTTTTCATCAGAATTTCCACACATTTCACTGTGTATTATTTCACTCTTCAATGCCACTTTATATTTGGAAAGAACCCCACAAAAAGAGTCACTTCATTATCTGTTCAATTAATTTGTTATTGCAGCAGAGGGAGCAGTAAGAGCGACAACATTCTCGAAGTCAAGGCCTGACACCAATCCTCCCTTCTAGCCTCCCCCACCCCCAACCCTGCTCCACAAAAGGAGCCAACAGAAGAACTGGTAAGATGCCTTAGAGCTGACTGCGTGGCTTACTGTGTGAAGACCTGGAAGCCATTCACGACCTGAAGTGGCTTCCAAGACCCCGTTGTCTCACTGATTTGCACAACATTTGCACAGCATTTATTGTGCACCCACTGTGCTGCAGAGATCCAGGTGCTAAGGATGGGAAGTAAGACAGTTTTGTCCAGAGATACATTCCTATGCCTAGCACATTGCTGAAAACAGAGCAGACCTTCACCTGTTCCTTGAATATTCTTAAAGACTTAGTATTTAGCACAGACTGTGATGTATGAGGAACACACAAATGGTGTAAAATTTTTTATGAGCCATTTAAGAAGCATACACAGACAGGTTACAACGGGACCAGAAAGGGGTATGAATGTGAATTTCGTATCATTTCCAGTTCATGAAATGTTATCCATCTTTTATTTTTTCCTTAACCATTTAAGAATGTAAAAACCACTAGCTCATGGGCCATACAGAAAGAGGTGGCAAGCCAGATATGATCCATGGGCTATAGTTCCCCCCATTTCTGGTCTCAATTTTGCAGTAGGCAACAGAATCCACTAAAGGGGTTTGAACTAGGATAAAGACCTAGATATATTTTATCCAGAAGGAGCCCCTGGAAGCAGGGGAGAGTTTTGTGGTGCTTCTGAACCAAGGCAGTAGCAGGAGAGTAGTATAGATAGGAGAATCGAAGGACATGGTATTGACAGAATTAGACCACCTGAATAGCACTGTTTTATTGTTTCTTGGCTGCCTAGAACTCATTTACTATACATCTGGTCTCTTGAGGACCACCCCGCCCTGCATCCCCCCCGCCGCCTATACCCAGTTAATATGGTTCAGTGGGGTACCACCTATGACCCAGGTCTCAATCAGTCACTGAACCCCATTTTCCTGGGCCACAGTGATTGGTGATCCAATCAAGGCCAATAAAATGGTATTGAACCTTCTGGGCAATAGACTTGTTCTTCCCTGTGAGTCTTGAATATGTGAGGACTGGGGTCTAGAGCTGCTGCTACAGCCATCTTGGAGCCAGAGGCTGGGGGTGTTTGGAAAAGAGTTCACAGGGAGGAGCCTGGAGGAAGAGATCCATAAATAAAGAAACTTGGTCCTGGTGATGTCATCTGAGGGCCAGATCAAGCCTGCTAACGCCTCTCCTGCCCCAAGACTCTTCATTTACATATGCCTGTAAAATCCCTTTTTGCTTAGGCCAGATGTAGCCTCGTGTCCTGTCTTTCACAGTGAAAGAGTCCTGCCTGAGAGACAGAACTGCCTGAGGGGACAAGAGGATTGGATCTCTGTTGATTCCCAGGCAAAATGGCCAGGTGGATGGAGGTGCCAGATATGCAGACGGCATATAAGATAAGGAGAAAGTCTGGAGACAGGACGTGGTTGGAGTCTTCTCCGCAATACAGACAGACTGCTGGCTGTTTCCTAACAACCAGTCTCATTCCTGCTTGCCTTCCTCTGTTTTCCTCTGTCCCACTGCCTAGAATACAAGCGGATGCCTAGCCGTGTAGCCCCTGGAGGTGATGTCTGGGGTGCTCACCACTCTGTGGAACGACCGAAACAAGCCTGTACTGCCTTCCTCCAGACTTCACTGGTGTGCAAGAGAAACAAACATCTCTTTTGGTTAAGTCACTGTTATTCGGGGAGTTCTGTCTCATGAAACCTGAACCTAATCATGGGCTGGGCCTTTCTTTCTGTCACTGAGATTGGAGCCGACGTGAATACATATATTCAATCACTGCCTGGGTTCTAAAGGGGTTTCCACATAGCCACACGTTTGTTTTACACTCCTTTCAAGGTACTTATTATTAATGTTAATAAAACAGTATTATCTTCGCTTCATATTTGTGTAGTCTTTTATAGCGTGGTGTGCACACTCACACCTATTATTTGCTTTAATGCTCCTCTCACCTTGTGAGGCAGGCTTAATTATCATCAGCCCTTCGAGGGCACATATGCCTCCAAGGACACATTTGTATTCTCACCTCTAAGCACACAGCCTGGCTCATCACAGCAGATCAGTAAGTCTAGAGTGGTTGGTTTGAGTTAAGAAGCTGTGTGACTTGCCCCAGGTCACAAAGTCGGTCTCATGCAGGGCTGAGATTTGAAAGCAGATCATCTCATCCTGAATATAGCCTCTTTAAAAATAACATTAATGTGAATTATGCAGCACCCTCCATCTCAAAATTCTGAGTACCTTTATAGTCTCTAATTAATTTTCCAGTTATATCTTGGTTTCTTTTAAATATTTATTATTAAACACTTACACCATGTAGGATAAAGCTGAGCTGTCCACATGCCCTTCTACCTGCTCCGTATCACCCCTACAGCAGCCCCGTCAACAAGCACTCATACCCCCGTATGCCTTTCTCCCTTGGACTCCAGCCGACAAAGTGACTATAACCCACTCACAGTTTCTCCCCAGGGCCTCTAAGACACTGTTTTGTGTTCTTTTTCATTGAAAACCTTTCACACCCCCAAGAAGAGAGTGTATTCAAACAAATCTCCGCTCACCATGAAAACAATACCCTTATATCGACTCATTTTCCCTCCCATTTACAGAAGCTACAAAAGGGAAAGTGTCTTGGCCATCCTAGAACAGCAACAAAGCCAAGACACAAGGCAGGCTACCCAAGTCTCTAGCTGGCTCACTCTCTGCTACGTTAACCTGCTGACCACCCTCCAAAGTCTGCCTGCAAGCTGCTTTTCCACACCAGAGAGCTAGACATGTGGCAAATCTCCTCATGATCACTTTAGGGAAGTAGAAACGCTTGGCCATGAGATAATTCACGTGCTGCACGGCTGTGAAATTAACCACTTTTCAGTGGTATTGCCTTAGTTTTAGACTTGTTCGGTGAGTGACATTAGCAGCGAAGCCAAGCTGAGGGGTGTCAGGGTGGCCAGAAACATCAGACCGACCCTTTAACCTATCTGGTAGCACCTTGTCCATGACTGTGCAGGGCAGGGATGTCTGGATGCTGGTGTGCTAACTCATGCTTTCTCCCAAAAAGAATTAAGAAGGCCATCTAGGGCTTCTCACCATTTTCAAAGTGGGTATGCTTCACCTATATCACTTAATATTTACTAATGCCCAAAACAGTCCATTTCCTTTCATGCCTCTCAAGCTGGCCACTGTCATCAAACAAAATGACAGAAGAGAGATCACATCTATTACATCGTATATTGTCATCACTCTACCTTATTAATGCTACCACTTTGTACTTCCAAGGTACCTTTTCTCTTTTGAAAGTCTCCAAAAGAGAGATAAGATATTCTTAGTCCTCCCTGTAAGATACTATACCTGAAGTATAGAGAAGACAGATTTACTCCAGGTCACAACAGATTCAACATGAAGCTCAATACTCTATTCCCTAAACTCCACTCCACTTGTTGTTCCTTCTCACAGTAATCCTTCCCTAGAAGCAGCAAGAACTGTCCAGTGTCAGCCATGGGAAGTCACCCACCCAGGAGTTGGCTAAGGATCCTGCCCTTTAAAAGTTCCTTGGGAGGGGACCTGGGTGGCTCGGTTGGTTGATCATGCGACTCTTGATCTTGGCTCAGGTGATGATCTCATGGTTCATGAGTTCGAGCCACGCATCGGGCTGTGTACTTGATGGTGTGGAGCCTGCTAGGGATTCTCTCTCTCTCCTCTCTCTCTCTCTGCTCCTCCCTGCTCTCTCTCTCTCTTTCAAAATAAATAAGAGTTTCTTGGAGGATGGGGCGGGATAGGGTAGAGTAGGCCACATCTCAAGCCAAGAGCACAGGGTTTGCTCACCAAGAAGGAGCAGAAGAAGATGAAGGAGACAAAGTAAACATAGGCCAGATCGGTGCCACAGCGCTCATTCTCATTCTGCCCTGATGGCGCAGTGGTGTCGGGCTCACAGCCTTTCTCCCCGAGGCACGACAGCATTATCTCCTGCCAGGCCTCACCTGTGGCACTCCTGAGCCCAAAAGAGATTTTGGTTAGTAGTATCAGGTCTGCGTGTCTCATCCTCTCCTTGGCCCTCTTCCCCAACTCACCCACCCCTTTCTCTTCTCTGCAGGTTCCTTTTGTGACCAGTTAGTGTCCCTCCAGTACTTTCTATCCAGAGAAGAGGGCCCAGGAGGTCTCTCTTGGGCTCTGTCACCTCACCCACTGCTTCTCTGTCTTTTCAGGAGTCTCTGCTGACAGTGGTAGAGATAGTGATGGGACTCTCTAGGGCCACATAAACCTGGCCATCCAGGGTTTCGGCCCTTAAATGGAATTTGGTCCACAGGAAACTGTCTCCACCCTCCCTACTCAGAGTCCTGGCATGCGTGTTCTGAACTTGCAATTTACAAACTAACCTCTGAGTCAAAGATGTCAAGGAAACTTTCTCTTGTCATCAGAGCATTTTTTCAGAGGCACTGACCTCCCCACCCCTGCCTCTAGTCTACTGTACATCCTGATAGGATCAGAACACGCAGAACAAGGAGACAAATAGGAGGAGGAGGCAGAGTAACTCTGTCTCCCTCGACAAGAGAGCCGCAGTATAAGAGTTTTGCATCCAGATACCTGAAGAGTAACATGAGGGACCCGAAGAAACTCCGGAAGTTGTTGTGTCGGTTGATGTGACTCTCCTCATCTAATTTTATGTTTCCGAATACCTTGAAGAGAAAAACAAAAAACAAAGAGCATGACTTGAGCTGTGTGATGTGTCCTGCATATGAATATTAGATGCACCTCATCTAATGGGGTTGGCAAATCTATATGCATGGCCTTTCCCAATGGCCCAATCCTGAAGCAGACAACTCAAACCCAGATAGGCTGATGGATCCCATGCTCCTGGCCTGACATGAACAAGTAATCATATTCTTCTGCAGCAGAGAGGACCAAAGACCATAGAAGGCAAGATCTTTTTGAAGTCATTCTGCCTGTACGTAGTTCCTCCCACACCTAATTTGGTCTTTTTATTTCCATGGTACCTGTCACCATGGTACTCAAGCAGTCTATCAAAGACATACCCCATAACAGAAGTGCAGGGAAGGAGCTACCCCTGTCTTTCTGTCTCAGGTAGTAATGATGGGAATATGTGTATTTGTAGAACATGTGATTGACAGCTTGGGCAGGTGCGGCCCTGGAATTTGCAAGTGGTTTGGGTCACAGAGGGGCACCTCTATCTTCCTTGGATATGTTTCCATCCAGAGAGTCCAATTTCAGAAAGTCAAAACATCTATAATCTAGAGTCCATGACAATGAATGCACACAAAGCAAAGTCCAGACCAATAGGATGAAGAAAGTCAGAAAAACTGGATACTTAGAAAAGGAGAAAGAATGGGCAGACCTGGCTATAGAATGAATTTGCTCATCTGCTTTCGGTCTTTGAGCCCAGAATGTGGTCACCATGCAAATTCACATGAAAGAAAAAAAAGAAGGGAAAACTCAGAGATCTTTATCCACAGACAGTGAATAATGTTGAACTCTGAGACCCTAAGTCTCTTCGGATGAGAGGGGTACCCTTCCACACGGACTTTCCTCCCAACCATGTTTCAGGTATCAGGATCTATTCCTACAAGTCAATGATGGTACAACCGAAGGCTTACAGGTCACTTTTCCAGCCCTTTGAGACACTTTCCAGACTATATTTAACATACTTCAGTTTATCTAATATATGCTAAATGGAACACATTTTCCCCCCGGACAGTTTTTAGAATGTGCAGTTGAGGAACGATCTCTGCCCCCAGCTATTTTACTCAAGTCACTCCCACTGACACCTGCTTTGGGGATTTGTTCTCCACACTGTTTTTCAAAACCCAAATACTACTTGTCTCTCAGGGAGAACGGAAGTGGCAAGGTAGGCAGCACAGGGGAAGAAAGGAAGGAGGAAGATAAGAGGGTGGAGGGCCCACAAACAGACAGACAGTAGAACTGAAAAAAATCCCCAACAACCACATTTAGTTCCAGGCACCCCGGGAGGAAACTGTCATACATCCTTATACCTGTGTTCACATCACCTTCTCTCCTTTTCACTCTCTTGGCCCAACATCTGCAATTTATCACATCACATCCACACAACTTACAATGTTTTTTTCTACCTCTGACAGTCCTGAAACCACCATTAATTGTCCTCACTATGATTTTCTCAAACACCTTATCCAGCTATCAACTAGTGGGAGGGCATGCTGTGATTTTGCATGAGGTATGTGTGTAACAGTCAAAGAAACTGAAGCTGTTTTGAATCGACTATAGTTCTCAAGCCAAAAATGTATAAATACATATTTATTGTGACGGCAGTTTTTAAAATCCCACCTTCTATTTATTTATTCATTGTTTATTTTTTAGCTTTTCACTTAGTCCTTGTCCCAGACCAAATTTCCTACACCAAAAGGGCATGAAAGAAAAAGAAGAGATACTGAGACCCACCAGAATGCTTAACAGAAGTACAAGCTTAAATTTACTTTCACTTGGAATCACAGAACTTTAGAACATAAAATGACCTATGAAGACATCTATCCAACTCGTCTATGGTTCCGGTGAGGATGTTACGGCCCAGAGAGGTTCGGTGACTTGACCAAGTTTGTAGAGCTGGTCAGTGGAGGAGCTGAGGCGGAAAGCCTCACCTCCTAATGATCTGTGCCCCTGGACTGTTTCCCATACCCAGCAAGTTACTCCTTCCTTCCCTCTTCAGATTCCTCTGCAAAATTCTCTTCTTCCAAGATGACTGTGAAAGCTCAGAATAATGGTTCTTCTCACAGATTCATCCTGTTCCTATTTATTTTTCCAATACTGGTCTCCTGCCTTTATGTCTTTCCGTTTGGATGGATCCCTCTACTTTGTTGTGACTATACCAGATACAATTTCTCTAGCCACAAGCTACGTATCTGCATTGTGCACAGTGTGGGGTTTCTATCATGCACCAGGGGGAGGATGGCTCTCTAAAGGCAAGTCACAGTGGGAAAGCCATTTGTGTCCCTGTGTAATGGAACCAGTGCTCCTATTTTGGGGGAAGAAGTCTAAGGGCAATAAGATATTAGACATCGCAGTTATTGTAAATATCACAATTTCATGACTGAACAGCTCCCACCTCCCACCAACAGGTCAAATAAATACTTGTATTTGCTTGTTGGTGGGAGGAGAGAGAACATGTAGTACACTAAGAATATGGGTTGTACAGCAGACAGAGCTGAGATTTAATTAAACTCAGCTCTCCCACTTACTGGGACCTTGAGTATGTTATAAGTTACTTAACCATGTTAAGCGTCAATGGAGACAATGAAACCCACTAAACATTTTCACATCACTTTCAAATACGTTAGTCACGTATTGTGCGTGTGCCTGCAGACAGGGAGGAAGAATGGGTTTAGAACATTTTGGAGAGTGTTTGGCACACCCAGGAATTCAAGTATTGGTAAACGGCATTATCATCATTATCAGCAATAATGCTAATAGTTTAGTACTAGAGATGGTGTTATTCTAGTTTATTTTGACTGAAGATGAAAGGAAGTAAGAGCTATTTTAATCATGGACAAAAATTTAAGTTTCATTTGGCTGTTCAAGAACATTTAAATTCTAGAATCAAATATTTGAGAGTTAGAAGGGACTTAATAGACATCATCAAGCTGATCGTAAATTTCCATAGGGATTCTGCTTACAGCACAGCTCTGACGCCATCATGGCATTTCTCCTGAAATATCTTCATTAAAGGAGAACTCACTACTTCTCAACCAAGTCTCACGCTTTTTGATACTTGACATTCTATTGTATTTTGGGAGAACAAAAATCTCTCCAGTAATACAGTTAGGAGATGAACAAAATTAAGAAGTGCATGCAAGAGAGAGGAGCATAAAGAAGAGACATTTCAGAGATGCTTTGGCAAAAGGCTGCTGACACAGCAAGCATGGGAGATGTGTGCAGTGGCTCCAGATGGCAGGCACTGTTGAGAAGGCAGCTGGCAGTCCAAAGGCAGCCAGACTGCCTGACTGCAGGAGACTGCCACTTGGCTGAATTTCCATGCTAGGGTTTAGTCTCAACATCTCCAAGTCAGAAAGTTAGCCCCCCTGAAACAAGCAGACAGTCCAGTGTATCTAACTGGATATGTTCATGGGATGTGTCACTGACTGTTTTTAGTAGGAGTCCACCTGCCACAAATGACAGTCACTTTAGGAAGATCTTATGACATCTTCTGCTCAGTGGACCTCTGACTACCTGCATAAATATCCAGGATGGAAACATGGCCCTTGGGTGTCCCTAGGATTAGGCAGGCTGCTAGGATCCCTTTGAGTTGTTCCCAGTCGTAGGTCTTAGGGTGTAAATCTCAGCCATTCAAGACTTAACTCAGATATATTTTGTGCTGTTGTGTATGAGGGAACGACCATCTGACCTTCTTTTAGGTCTAGCTCAAATATGGGAGATGCTGAGAAATGGATCATCATGAGCCTCACCTCCTCCTTGGTCTTATGCGAGACCTCTCTGGCTAAGAACAGTGGTGTCACTTTTGCTTTAGCCCTACTGTTGTGTTCACAGAAGTCCCACTACTTGTAAGTCAGCACCATGATCTGATAACCTCAGATGAAACCCCTGTACCAGATTTGTACTGCAAATACCTTGGTAACCTGAGTGGGGAACCGTGCATATGTAAAATTCCCAAGGTGACATTGCAATAAGATCTTGGGAGCATGCCCATAGGCAAAAAGGGGTTCGAAGCACCCTCCACCTTGGATGCTAAGGCTGGTGAGCCAGTGACAATCTGTCACTGTCCCCAACCAGGCCCCAATATACCAGCTCACCTGCATCCCGATGATGGCATAGATGAAGAAAAGCATGGCAATCAAAAGGCAGACGTAGGGGAGGGCCTGGAGAGAAAGCAGAGATAGGACCGTGAATTCAAAGGGAGGCAGCTCACAGGCTCCACACCCAGTTACAGGCAGTACTAGAACTCTTGCCCTGAAGCTGATTTTAATGGAAGGCTGGAACTCCCTATTCCCTGGGGCTATTCTGATTTGGAGTGCCACACTTCTGCAGATGTCCATGTCCTCTGACAAATATGTAAGCTATTGTCCATAGACAGACTTGTCATTTGCTTTCTGTCAAGAATGTTCATTCACCCAGAAGTGTGGCCCAGATCTCTAAGGAGAGCTAGGGAAACTTCCTGGGCTTGAGATTCATCCCACTTTGCATGCAGAATATTAATAACCGGGGCAATTGTGATGCAAATTACACAGAAAGCACCTAGATTGGGTCCTCAAATACCTATGTTACCCCTTCCCACTCCCTCACTCAATGCCAAGCCCATAATAGAGAATCTGGAAGCAAAGAAGCCGGCTAGGGGTCTCAGTTGTTTGTCAGTTCCTAGAAAACCCCTTCATCTTCCGATGAAACTCTTTTTCCAATGTTTAAGCCTCCTGGCACTTCATTACATATCATGCAAAATTCCAAAAAGCCCTTTAAGTGTTAGCCATTGCAAAACCCTGCCATGAAGCCATGCGGCACAAAATTCCATACCATGTAAGCTAACTGCCACTGTGGGATGATAACATTTCAATTGTAGGGGTGAAGGGGGCAAGTGAAAGAGATGTGAGGTAGGGAACTGCCTACCTACAGAGAACTGGCTGGGGGAGGATGTAGGGCAATTTCCTTTGGGGGCCAGGGAGGGCTCATGATTTGGGGGTGATCTCCATGCTGACATGGAAGCCTCTTTCCTTTACCATTCAGGAAGCCTCCTGGAGGACCCTGCAGCTTGCAGTCTCCATTCTATCCTGAGTGTGTGCAATGCGCCTCCCAGGAGACTAGTTGAAGGCTTTCAGACTGCAGGGGCAGGGCAGGGCTTATGAACAGAGCTAACTAAATGAAGAGCCTTGGGAGACTTTTAGAATAGACTTTAGAATAAAGGATAAAATTAAAATGCGACCAAGTTGCCTACAGAATCCCCTCTCCAGTGAGGTGCTGACTCCCAGGATCTATAAGGGAAATGGCTGCCTTTCAAGGGGCCGTGTGAAGACTCCGTCTGCTGAAAGGAGAGGGCTGGGAGGCAGGTTTCTTACCACTTGAGGTGCCGCTACCTTCTATCACCTTCTGCTTACTTTCTGCCCTTATTCTACCTTCTACACTCCAAGGTCTCCAGTCCCTAGCTCATCTCTCCCTACCACACCCCGCCAGCTTTTGGGAAAAGATCAAAGATTTATTCTGATCTCCTTTCTTATCATGTTATAAATTCTAACTCAAAATAAGGATAAAGAGGGAAGAACAAAGTAGGAGTCATTGGTTGGAGAACTGAGCTATGGTCACGGCTGGTGGGGGGGGGGGGGAAGGGCGTGGCTACGCCATGGCCCCTGGGGGGCAGTTTATATTGTGTGGCTCCTTGCTGTGTATTTGCAGAGGGAACCTTTGTTAAGCCGACTTTCAGAAAACAATTTCTATACTGTGTCCTGGGACTGTTCCAAAAAGGAAACACCTATCCATCACAGTGTCACCTAGAGGCTGATTCACCTTGTCTTCACTGTTCTATATTCACTGCAATAAGCCAACCATTTGACCATCAATTTTTGACATGCTTTTCTTTGCCCTCAACAGTATGCAGTTTTACAGAGAACTGGCAAGCATGATAATGTGACAGGCTGACACATATTTCTTGAGAGACTCACTAACTGTAACTTATTTGAAAGGTCTCTAACAAAAAGGTTTTAAAGAGTGGTGTGTGTATCAGATTCTAAATCCAAATTGACCTGAGACTCGGTAAATTCTTGCTAAGGTTTTAGATTTCTCCTCTGTCATGTGGCTTTGGAAAAATTCTTTCCACTGAGGTGAGAATAGATGAGATACCCCATTGAGAGGGTTATGACACCAAACAATTACTATGGATATGATAAAAATGTCAAGGTTGCTGGTAGGAGCCTGAACATCCTTACAACTCTTCTCATATATCAAACCCGCAGGATCTCAATGGAGAATAAGTCAGTAATGATGGTGTAGGGTGCACACTTTTCCAAATGTGAAGAAGAAATCACTGAATTCACTGGCTTAACCTCTTTAGTTCAATTAAAATACATAAACAATTAAAGGAGGCAATTTAGTAAATTCATGATTTCTCATCTTTGAATCAATTTCATCAAATTTATTTTTAAAGCACATTCATTGAAAAGCTTTTTTTTTTGAGAGAGAGAGAGAAAGTGAACGAGCATGTGTGAGGAGAGGAAGGGCAGAGGGAGAGGGAAAGAAAGAATCTTAAGCAGGCTTCATGGCCAGCATGGAGCCTGACTCGGGACCCAACCTGGGGCTTAATCTCATGACCATAAGATCACAACCTCAGCCAAAATCAAGAGTCGGACACTTAACCAGCTGAGCCACCCAGGTGCTCCCAAAAGCTTTAAGAGGAAATAGTAGGCATTTGGGCAACACTTAGACTCCCAAAGCTTTAAAAACAGACTATGATATCTGCTACAGCCTGAAGACATTTAAATATGTTTGGAAAACTTCTTTTATAGGAAGTTTCTGTCATTAAAGTGGGTTTCAGGTATCTTTTAAACTTACATTTATTACACATACACCTCTGTGTAGCCCCATGAGACCATTCAAAGAAGCTCACCACATTAACCTTGCCCAAGCATCCTATTAGATAGTAAGACACAAAGGTGACCATTAGCATACCATACATTCAGGGGTTCAGGAAACACACACTGATGAAGACATGGATGGGACTTATGAATTATCTTGCAGAACTTTTTATCTTTAATTTTTTTTTTAATGTTTATTTATTTTTGAGGGAGAGGGAGAGACAGAGCGTGAACAGGGAAGGCGTAAAGAGATAGGGAGACAGAATCAGAAGCAGGCTCCTGGCTCCGAGCGGTCAGTGCAGAGCCTGACACAGGGCTCGAACTCACAAGCCACAAGATCGTGACCTGAGCTGAAGTCAGACGCTTAACCGAATGAGCCGCCCAGGCGCCCCACGTTGAAAAACTTTTAATGTGACCTACAGCCATTGGCAAGTCCCTCAAAATGCAGAAGATGCATTACTACAGGTGTCTGGCTCTCTACTTGGACAGGATCGCTGGAGGAGCTTTGGAATACCTCGAGAGGGAGCACACCTGATAAAACAGGCCTCAGCGAACAAAGAAGGGAACTGAGTTATAATGTGGAGGTGTTTTTCTAGAATGAGATTCTCTCCAGTTAAACACAAGCTGCCTGCTGCCTGGCTGAGCTGCATTATAACTAAGAACTGCTGTATCTATTTAATGCTTCTGACAAACACTCATTCCTCGAGGTGAAGGGACCAGTGTAATGACACTGTGTGGCCCGGCTGTGCTGTCTGATAAGAAAGAGAGGAGGATCTGGTGCTGCTTACCTTAAAGGACTGTACAAAAGTCCAAAGTAAAATACGGATGGTGTAGCCCTGACGTAGAAGCTTGATGAGACGAGCAGCTCGGAAGAGCTTCAGAAAGCTCATATTGAAGCCACTGGTGTTCACCAGCTGGTTGACCAAAAGGAAGCATATAATTAGTGACATTACGGTCATTTAGCAAAAACTAAGCACTAGTATTTGCATATGTATCCCTCATTCAGATCATGGAATTGGACACAGATTCTGTCTTGTTTTCAACCCCATCGTCAACTGATGGGCCAGTGAGGACCATCTCTCTAAGCCTTCCCAGGCCTGCACTCTATTCCCAGGTAGAAGGGTATGGGTAGGACCCCAGAAGAGTGCCCTGCATATATCATACAAAACTAGCCTCCCTAGTCTTCTAAGCAGGCCTAGTGGTCCTAACTGCACTTAGATGCCCAAGAACATACCTAATAACCCCTCCAGGACATATGGTGGCCATGTCAACATTCAAAGAGAGTTATGATGAACCCTCCAAGTCTTCTTTAGGATAAACAGTTTTAGGGTAACAATTCAGGTCTAACAACCTTGATGGCAAAGATACTATGCCTCTCTTGTGCCTCCTAAAGAATCTAGCAGGACACTGTGTACACGAGCCCTCTTCTGGTATGGTCTATTGCACTCACCCCATTAGGTAGCTGCTTTTTGAGTCACGCAAATGAAACAGAACCTTCCATGAGATCCAGTCAGTGCCCTCCAATGTTTGCATTTTCTGGTGGATGCTCAGGAATGAGGAAATGAACTCCCAACACCAAGAGGGCTACACATTTGGCTGGACGAGTTAAAAATGGGCTGTACGCACAGAAGGATTTTTTTTTTTTTTTTTTATTTTTTTTTTTTTTTTTGCTATTCCAGGGCCAAGCTTAAAGACAAGGATGTATGAGCCACTCACCTTGCTGTCTGTCAGAATGATTTCTGTGATACTGCCAATCACGGTGATAAAGTCAAAGATATTCCAGGTATCTCGAAAATAGTTCTGCCATGTGAATTCGGTCATGGGAGCATCAGAAAAAGGAGGAAAAGAAATGGTGAAGAGACACCTTTCATTACATAAGTTTGTAACTTGGAATTAAAACTTGTCAGTTCATGTACAAGGTCATCCTAACTTTGACTTCAGTTTCCTATGTCTAGTCGGAAATGCTATTTCTCCTTTACTGATTTGGGCATTTCTCATTTGGGAAGCAGTCTCATCACTACTTGAAGACCTTGTTTTTGAATCTGTCACTAAAAAGCTACATAAAAATATGTAAGAAAGAGATTTGTGGCCAAGAACATTATAAAGTCCAAAAAAAGGCAAGATCATTGTCACCCATAAGGCAATAAAATTATTTACAATATCACTCTAAGGCTTTCTACAACTTTAAGTCATCTATATTATACCATGTGATTCTATAAATATACAGTTTTGACTTTCAACTATTAATAAAAATCACAGAGATGTTCTAAGTGATTAAAGGTCAAAGATGTGCCAAAAATCTCCTCCTAACTCCACGGGGCAATAGGACAAACAAGACTTCATCTTTCCCCTCTTTCTCTGCTTTATTACAAATTTTGAGTAATAAAATGAGTGTATTGAAGGAAATGGAGGAGAAATAAAGGACCTGGAAGATGCACCAGCCATGTAACACTCTGCTTAACAGAGAGAGGAGGCTTTCCTCCTATCTCCAGTGCTCAGGTGAACACAGACCTTGGACTACATTCCTTAAAAGAAACAGAATACTTGGGTTTCCAAAGTCACTGGCTTGTCCTTGGGCAGCACCTCCCATAGGAGACTCTCAGAGCACAGCTAAAGTTAACTCCCCTACCCTCACAATGAGCATTAGTGAATTTTATGACATGTGCCAGCTATGGGGTAGTCCCTTGGCATTCTTTCAGTTCATTTGTGTCTCCCACAGATCCTACAGGTATGTCAAGATCAATATCCTATGTTCATAAAACACTCAGTGGCAGGAGTGGCAAGAAGAATCAGCAGAGACATGCAGTTGGGAGAGCAAAGGAGTGTGGTAAGAGCAAAGCTACCTTTATTGAGCACCTTCTCAGGACTAGAACCTAAGGACCTTGGGTACATTGCCTAACTGGGCATATACAACAAAGTATATAAACCTCTAAGATAGCTATTGTGATCCTCGTTTTGAAAGACAAAACTAAGGCTTAGGGAGGCTCATCTGCTGGGCAAGAGAAACAGGCTACACAGACTCCCAAACTCACTTTCCATGAAGAGTACCTACTTCCTCAGGAATTGAACTAAGTTGAGTCTCCGAGTTCATAATTTCTCAGGGCTCTACTATTCCCAACCTGGAGTGAGCTTCTTGATCTTAGGCCCTCATACAGTAGAGAGGATACGACTCTAGGTCTTAGAGGACAGAAGCTCTGGATTCCAGGTGAAGGAGCTTTAGTGTAGTGTAGACTAGTAGATTCTTGTGGACAGATCATGGGCTTTCAAGTCAGATTAGACCAGGATCTGAATGCTGGCTCTGCCTTTTAGTAACCTTGGGCAAAGTACTGAATCTTCACGAGCCCTGACCCATCCATATAAGAAACTGTATCACCTATCTAAAAGAGTTGTTATAAGGCTAAAATGAATACTTAATGTGGCAAACAATATACGTTCATTCTCTCCCTCTTTTTTCTTCTTCCTTTTTTATTCCCATCCTACTTTCCAATTCTACTGCCTTTTATTGGGTCATCTTCTTTTTAAGTTTATTTATTTTTCATTTTGAGAGAGAGAGAGAGAGAGAGAGAGAGAGAGAGAGAGAGAGAGAGAGAGAGAATATATGAGAATGAGAGGCGCAGGGGACAGAGAGAAAGGGAGAGAGAATCCCAAGCAGGCTCTGCACTGCTTTGAGCCAAACATGGGACTCAAACCCACAGACCATGAGATCATGACCTGAGCCAAAATCAAGTGTCAGATGCTTACATGACTGAGTCACCCAGGTGCCCCTATTGTGTCATCTTTAAAAAAGCTATACCATTTTTCTGAACTTCAATTTCCTCATTTAAATGAACAACATCGACAATGATAATGATGGCATCTGCCATGCGTATTTCAGAGTCACTGAGAAGATCTAACAAAATAGTATACATTAGGATATTCTGGAAACCTAGAGTACTATATCAGTGTAAAGACTTGTTTGGACCTAATGTGCCTTTTAACGGGTGAAAATGCCTCTAGACCTTGAATAAAAAATATGGAGGTGAGGGTGGGAAGGAGGCAGACTCTGGGGCCAGTCTAGTTAAGCTTGTAAGTATGTATTCAGCATTCACCATAATTAACACACAGTTGGGGACTTAAGTCACAGACAATGTCAATGGTACATGCAAGTAATCAAGATGCATAGAAAAACTTTCCCTGTTGTGGCACCAGCTTCTCCCTCACTCTGCTCACCCTGCTCACGGCTAGACTGTATTATAAAGGCATCTTTGTTGGTGGCAGTTTCTTTTTACTTTTTTATTTCCTCAAGTCTCAAAATACTCAAAGGGGAGTCAAGCAAACAACAATAGAGCCACCTGCAATGGGTTCTCTTCAACTCCCCTCCCCAAACCATCAAGTTGATGACTTTTCAAAGACCCATCAGGAGACCAAAAGCAGCCCCTACAATCAACACACAATTATCAGGCCCAGCCCAGAGTCCCTGCTAAAACCGCTACCAGACAAGCCCTTTTTCAGATAATAAGCAAAGTTTCTTTTCTTGCAGGGAAAGCCACATACACACACAATTTGAAATGGTAGCTCACACACTAAATAAGTGTGAAACAGCTGTCAAGTGGGTTTATCTGCATCCCACTGATCTCACTGTAAACGTTGAAGCAAGGAGGTGGGGGGTGCAGAGAGAATTATTTTGTTTATAGGACACTGAAGCAAAGGGCTAGGTTTCCTTAACACTGTTGAGAGCAGATGCAAGAATGTGCCAAGCAATTATAATTAATAGTTGAAGAAAAGTAAAAGACTCATACAAGAAAAACTCATCCCAATCCCCCTCAAACCGAATTCCAGTATATCTACCTATCAACCTCTCTCTCCCTCCCTCTCTCTCCCTCCACCCCCCCTCTTTCACACACACACACACACACACACACACACACACACACACACACGTGCGCACTTGAAAGGTCATTAGTCTTTGTAAACTTAAGCAATAAACATTTATTTTTGTAGGCAGAAATTACGCTTCATGTAACTAACGGGAGGAGGACAATTAGGTAAAATCTAGTATCTGCTATGTTTGAGGCTAAGAGAGACAGGTATTTTCCCATATGAATTATAAAATCTCATACCTTTTACCAATAAACAAACACTCAAGGCTTATTAGTCCAATCTTTGTTTGGTTCCTATCAACAAATAAATTGTAGTTTTAGCAAGACCCAATGACTGTCACCCCTAAACCACTGACAGAACCTGAAAGGACCAGAACTGATGGCTAGATGAGTTTGGAGCTGGGGATCCTTTGCCCTTTCTCCTAACACCCTCACACATCCTCTTGTCTTTATGGCAGTTTATTGAAACAGGCCCACAATTAGGTCAGGTGAACCATTTTTGGACGAGCGGTAACCACCCCCCTTCCAACAAAGGCTGGGAATGCATCCAAAAGGAAGGGAAGACGAGTGTGATGCTGGGATAAATGCCATGACATACCAAGAAGCCAAACGCGATGATCTTTAGGACACATTCCAGAGAAAACACCATGGTGAAGGCAATATTCAGGTACTTCAGGGCCAGTTCATAGGTACAGGGAGCAGAGTAGTACTGCCAGGAAGAGAAAAGAGGAGAAAAAGAATCAAACCCTTAAGGTGAGGGGGTTATTCTTTGTCACTGAGGCTGGCCATCTCTCATCCCTGCCCTTGGGGGACACTGGTGTGTGGTGTCAGAGGAGAGACGTGCATCGAGTGCTGGAGAGAAGGACGATGGATCCCATGTAGCAGAACAAAACAAAACAGAGGAGAGCACAGACCATGCCTAGCTGTGGCTACTTATTAGCAAAATAGCCAGTCTTCCTAGAGATGAAGGTGGGCAGGATAGAAACATTTTCTGGAGTTAATTACTTTACCAGTTTTTATTAAATAAGATCAAACCTCTTCCAACACTCCTTTAGAACCCCATGATCACCTAGATCATACATTTCCACTCTTGTCTGAATCTGACTGAATCTGACTGCCATCAGCATCTCTGGTCCTGGGAGCTACTGTACTTCTTTGCTACAATGTGTCTCACTGCATTTTGCTCCAAAGATCCAGAAGCTGGGCTGTTGAATGGGACAAGATCAAAAAGAGATTCCACAGTGTTAAAGGAGGTAAGGAGGCAACAGACTTGAATGCTGGAGTGTCTGCCCAGTGTCTCGAGGGCACATGTAATTGCTCTGTGAGGGAACGGGCCCCAAGGCTCAGTCTCCTGAATGCCTGCAAGCCACCACCCCCTCACCTTCATCATCAGCACGACGGTGTTCAAGGCGATCATGGCCATAATGGTGTACTCAAAGGACGGCGACACCACGAAGTGCCAGACACGGTACTGGAAGGTATGCCTGTTCTGCGGCATGTAGCGGGTGAGAGGTTTGGCACTGATGGCGAAGTCGATGCACGCCCTCTGAAGGAAAGTCACAGCTATTAGCTCAAGCTCAAGTCCCCTAAACCTTGCACATTGGTGGGCTCTCTGTTAGGTGGCTAGAAAAACAGGACAGTGTATGAAAACAAAGATAGGGCTAGACAAGCAAAAGGAAAGATGGCAACAGGGATTATGTAGACAAAACTACAGGTGCATGGTCACTTTAACTGTACACAGCACTGGGATATCATATGGGATATGGACTTTATGGTTCCTAGTAATGTCCTTTTACACAGCCTGTGGCTGAGATGATTAGGCAGGAAGCCTTACCTGATGCTCTCAGTCAGAAGTAAAACTCTATCTCCCTAGGCATTCCCAGAGCACTTTATTTGTATTTCTCTCATAGTCTCTAACAGTCTCTGGTTCCTTTCCATTACAAAAATAATGAGCTCGACAATGTGCCAGAACTATGCTTGTTACTGGAAAAGCAGCAATAAGCAAGTCATATTCCCTATCCTTATAGCAAATACATGCCACAGAGGGACAGAGCCAGGTACGCAAATGTCTTAATGTTGTAAATTTGGCACACATCTTTTACTACCACCTCTACACTACTCACGGCATAAGGGTAGGGACTACATCTTAAACCTTCCAGTTCTCTGTGCCTCATGCCTAAGTCTTAAAAGAGCTGATTCTTAAAAAAATGTTTACTTAATGACTGAATAACTAATCTTTCCCATTTCTTTGTCCTTTTTCATAAAGTCAAGAAAATTCAGTCTTCCTTCCTACCACTGCTGTCCAAGAGCCCTTTCTGGAGCCCCTGCTGTCCCATGCTCTAGACCACTTATTTTTACCTCGTTCTTCTCCAGGCTGCACTCCTCCATCATCTTGTCTCCTTGCTCCTGGAAGGTGATGATGATGAGAGCCACAAAGATATTGACAAAGAAGAAAGGGAAGACCACAAAGTAGACCACGTAAAAGATGGACATCTCCATGCGGTTGCTGCGGCTTGGTCCTCGGTCTTCCTCTGTCACATCGACAGAATGCTGTAAGACTCTGTAGGGACAGAATGAGGGGGCTTGGATGGTGGATGGAAATCTTGGCAGTGGCTCTGACTCAAGGCTTCATTAGGAGATGTGCCTGCCACCTATTATATTTTCTTATATGACTTCTTTGACTTTGTAGATCCACCATAATTTTTAGGGTCCATAATCAAGGTGGTGAAGATCCAGTGACCCCAGATCCACTGCTTTTTCTATGCCCTGTTCCATCATGCATCCAACTGCTAAACAACAGAGTGACATTAGTTTATAGCTTAGGTTGTCATATTCAATACCAAGAGACCCCTGGACTTCCTGGCATACTGCCAACTAGAGTATGCTGCCACCAGAAAGTGGGGTCTTAATAATTGCCAAGTCTCTGAAAAATCAGACATTAGCAGCCTAAGAAACTGCATTCTGTTGTCTTCTTCATAGAGGTGTGACCACAGAAAGTGTCTCTGAGTCTTCCAACTCATTCTTAACCCTCAGTCCCAAGGTGAAGGGCCAACGTGGAGGATAAATGTATTCAAAACAGTCCCCAGGGAATTCTTCTAAGGGGTGGAGAGCCATTCAAAACTCATTTGCTCTACAAGAGTCAGATGACTCCACTCAACTCAATTGGCTAAAACAAGAAGAGTTTCAAACATCTCTGACTTTGTTATCTCCCTCTTGATTTTTGCTTTAAGTTTTTTCATTCCTCCTCTCTTCCAGCTCTCACCCACTCATAACCACTTACTTTCCCTGGTATAATAACAAAGGGTTAGCCTCATTCATCTTGAATAAGCTTCTCAAGGCAACCACGTGGCCCTATCCCAGCTCACAGACAAGCATGCCGACTCAAACCCATCACTCACTGAGGCCATCCTTCCCCTGTGGAGACAGTGAAGAGGGTCAGCAGGGCCCAGATAATGTTGTCGTAGTGGAATTCATGGCGCTTCCATTCCCGGCCTTTCACCTCCATCTTGTTTTTTTCATGATCTACATAGTTGCCTCTAAAACCAGAGTACAAATGAAACAGGGCCTCTTCACTACAGCTCGTGGGAGAGTAAGGAGATTCTACAAACTTCAATCATGTGGCTAAGTCATAATCAGGATACAAATGCAAGGAAGAAAGCAGTGTATTATAAAGGCAGTCTATCATTGCAGAATAAAAGTGGTATTAGGTGCCCAGTAGACATGGAAGATGAAATCCTAATCCTTTTACTAGTCACCGTGCAACCTTGAGCAGTTTAAACTTCCTGAGCCTCAGCTTTCACATCTAGAGTACGTAAATGAAACCTATCTCAAAAGGTCACTGTAAAGATTGATAATGAAAAACAGTATGTAAAATGCCATGTACTGTGTGTGACACAAAAAGTTTCCTATTTTGCCTTTTTTCCTAAAAGAAGAAATGAGAGATGGGTAAGAGAGAAAGAGAAGACCTATCTATGGAGGGTTAAGTGGGCATCACTGGAACATGCTTTAGCAGAAAGTGAGTGGCTTGTGCTGGCTGCACGTACATGCACTCCTTCTCTGTGTCCTTGGAACTGTCCGTGCAATAAAAGAACTTTCCCTTGAAGAGCTGAACTGCGATGACAGCGAAGATGAACATGAAGAGCTTGTAGACAATGAGTATGTTGAAGACATTCTTCAAGGAAGTCACCACGCAATCAAAGACAGCCTGCAAAGAGAAGTAAAGAGCACTGTATGTCCCTGGAATGGCCTGTGCATTTGCCTAGAGCGGAGCTAGGGCCACATCACCACCAGCCAGCCCCACTGAGAAGGTGCCTCAGGAGATATCACCTTCCTAAGAAGTAACCTCATGGGATTCAGAGGTGGCTTCCAAACTGGTCATGACTGCCAGGACCTACCACCTGGAAGGGTACATGTGCTCTGAAACTGAAAGTAAACCCCAAAGCAGTAGAGGCCAAAAGGCACCAGGCAGTGGTGGAAGTCCTTTGTGGGATCCCAATAGGTGTACTCCAGTTAGTGGGAGGCACAGAAATCTATCGCAGAAAGGATCTCTGAGAGCATTTAGCCCATTTTAGCCATTACATGGCTTGTCCCTAACCTTACATCTATTTGGTGGCCTTCTTAGATTCGGTTTATATATTGCATGCATATGGTCTTCTCTTTACCTTTCTAAATGGATCAGAGAGCGCAGTAAATTACACCTTTATTTTAGTGATAATTTGAATTAATCCATACATTCGATCAAAATATGTTCAATACTTCACATGTAAATGTTCTCTAGCTTAAAGCCAGCTGTATTGGGGATGAAGAGTCAACAGGTGATGTAGGAAGGGATGGAGAGCAGCCTTCCCATAGAGAAGGGAGGACTGGGTGGACAGAATCAGACTGGTGCTTCGGTCACAAGCCTGGATGTCACTCTGCAGAATCCATTCTAGGCCCTGAGCTGTGGGGAGTTACACAGGAATTCGACACATTTCAAGCCATTTTTAGGTTATTTTCTAGGTTTTTAGGTTTAGCTCACTGGAGAGTTGAGCCCCATGGTGGGACTGCATTTGTGCAGTTGCCACATTGGTACAGTTGTTTCTTCACAGCGCTGGGTGACTATCGCTGGTTTAATTAGTTCAACACTGCGGGGTATGTGAGCGGCACGCAGCCTTGTAGAATCATCAGAGCCACCTACACTTCCCCCAGGTGATGGAGCTGCAGAGAAAGCAAGAAGCCAGCGCTTCCTAATTAAGTGGAATTAGCCAAGGCTGGGGTCGCATTCTCCAGCCTATTAACTAATCTCATTATGTGGTCTGCAATCTCCTTAGGACCCCAACATAGCTCAGAAAAGAAGAGACCGTTAGAGCCTGGGTTGCAGCTAACAACATTGGTTAAGGCCTCAGCCCCCTGGCGGTATTGTTGGGGTGGAGCAGAAAGGAATGAATATTTATGGACATGGACCGAGGCCTGGAACAACGCTGGGTCTATTACCAGGTACAAGGTTGTAGTAGTGAACAGTGTGCGTAGCCCCTGAAGACCATGCTCAGGCCTGGTGCTGTGGCTCACTCTGGCTGGCCGTGTGGCCTGGGCATCAGGGAGTGGACCTCAGGGCTGTGAACCAGGCATCCTGGCCTCCTCCCTCAGGGTGGCTAACTCTCACTCACAGGAATTCAGGAGGAAAAACTTTTTCCCCAGTGAGGCTTCAGCTTCTGTTCACAGCAGTATATGTGTGGGGGGAGGAGGGTTCAATGTGTTAACCAACTGGACTTGAATGGTAAAGCACACCCTGAGGGCAGGAAGGCTCAGCCAGGGAAGAAGCCCCAGGAGGGTTGAGCAGGGAGACACTGGTTAGAAAGGAGGAGAATCAAGGTAATATACCTGTGGAAGTGCAGGCCCTGGAAACAGGAAGAACTTAATCCATGTTAGCTCCTCCCCATTCTCTGCTTCTGCCAAAAATGACTATGTTCTTGGGCAAGTTGCTGACCTATCTGTGCCTTAAAAATATGAAGGGGCAGGGCTAGTAAATCCTTTCCTTCTCTAGAATTACCCATCCCTGGTTACTCAGCATGACATGCTGTTTGGCCACAACACAGTTAGAAGACTTCTACTTCCATTTTGGTGTTCTGGGTCCACCTTAATGACACAGGGTGCTTTCTGGGTGACATGCCACAGCCAGAGTATGTATAAAATACTACCTGGGTCTGGACCCAAGAGGCCAAAGCCCCCTCATAGATTTCTTGGCATGTTGGTTATTTTTCTTTTAAACAAAGACCTTTCACTCAGGCCGATGAAAGGACCCCAGTCCCTGTGTGAGCCAAAGGACTATTCTCAGAAATAATTCTCTGAAAGCAGGCTGACCACGGCTAAAGACAAGATGGGAGAAGGGGACTCGGAAAACCTTACCTTGAGCTTGGGCAAGCGCTTGATGGTCTTCAGCGGTCTCAGAACTCGGAGCACCCTCAGAGATTTGATGGTCTTGATGTCCCGCCCCTTGTTAGTTCTGCAGGGGAGAGGCCCCCAGGGATCAGAAGACAGGGGGAGAAATGAAAGCGGCATTCACACTACCGCATTAACAACAACAAGGTAGAAGGGGGGATAGTGAGGCAAGAGGCCAGATATTGGGTCAGAGTAGACCCCCTTCAGGAAGACCCCACAAAAAATTCAATTCACTCCCTATTTTGAACACACTCTTATGCGCGTGTGTGTGCACACACACATGCACACTCATGTATATTCACACAGAACACGTGAGCACGCACAAAGGCATCCATGTAATAAGTATTTTAGTGAACACTTCCTCTCCCCAATGCCTAGAGTAATGCTGGTTATTAACACATTAGCAGAATGGGAATGGAAGAGAGATCGACTATGGAACATGACTGGCAATCCATTCTGGATCCCCATGGTGCCTGGTCTGGTGCTTCTTGAGTAGCAGGCTCTCAAATGATATTCGTTGAATGGACTGGGAACCCCTGGTTGAAAGCAAGTCTCATCAGAGGACTTAAGCTAGTCCTTTCCTTGACTCTACATTTGCCACCTTGGCAGAACTCATTAGTTCAGGGGAGAACAGGGTGGGGAAGGGCAGTAGGGACAGGACACCCCTGCTGTGTTGGCTGCCGCTTCCAGAGAAAGCATGTCACGTAGGCTTCCTGCCAGGACGCTGGCTCACACTACCTGCGCATGGCTGGCTCCTTCCGCGGTCCCTTCTCATCGGAGGTGCCCTATACCTAGCACAAGCTGCAGAGAGCCATACAGTTGGAGAAGGCCCAAACTCCAGTCCCTGCCCACCTTTATCCTTGCCCTACAGCTAATGAGCTTCCCTATTCAGCCACTTGGAAATGTTTGCTCCTAATAGATAAAATATGCTTCCCTTTTTAGTTTTAGGAATGAAATGAATAAATCAACCTGCATTTCTCCCTCCACCCTTCTTATCCCCTGAGATCTTTGCATTCAATTCACACAATTGCAATTTGTAAAAGACACAGATGGTAGGAAATGAGACTCTAAAGACTGAGCTCAGGCTCTGGTTCTTTCCTCATGTTGGCCCAGAGTACCATTACACCAACAGTCCGGGGAAATGGGATCCAGAGCATCAGATGGGAACTACAAGGGCTTCTGCCTGCCTTTTACCCTGTCCTTCCGCCGTACACGGCATCCCCTCTGACAGGGAGATAAAAGATCAGTTTCTTCCACAGAAGGCAAGGTAGGAAGAAGACATTTAATAGAATTCAAGGAATGTTGGCTTTGCTCAGAATGTGAATTTAAAGACCCTCTTAATGGCTGTAGGCCATGGCCTGTAAGCCACTTTTATTCCATTTGAACTCTTAATACAGATAATCCAAAAATATTGCATTATCAGGTCTTTTGCATCCAGGGGTTTTGTATATTTTATAAACTCTTTTACTGTATTACATTCATATAGCTACCTACCTAAAAAAGGCAACTTCTAAGCCAAATACATACCTCAACCAATAAAAATGATCACTGTCCAAGAAGGCTTGGTGACTCCTCACTTTTGTTCTCTTGGTTGTCAGTGAGAACTTACCACTCGTATAAACTCACCGCTCCTTTCTCAACGAGCAGGCTCCTTCCCTCCCAACTGTACTTGCACCCTCCTCCAAGCCCACTTCCCGTATTCTTTACTTCAAAGAAAAGAGAAAACAATATTTACCCCAAGGCGTTCCTATGGAGGATCCAAGCAGAAAGCAGTTTAAAAAAAAAAAAAAAAAAAAAAAGGAGGAGGGGTGGAGAGAAGGAAACAGTTAGAAAACTTCAGGGAGGACAGGGAACCTTACAGCAACAGGGAATTGGACAAGCACAGGCCCAGGAGATCCCGCTTACAGCCTTGGCACTTGCAGAGTCCACACACTTTGTGAAAGGAAGGGCCAGCGCACCATTTGCTCCACACCCCCCTCTCCAACCTGGAAAGGCAAAGGCCCTTTGCAAGCACTAGTGAAGCTGTCTCTAACCAGATGGCATTCCCCACAATGTGCTTTCTTTCATGGAGCCCAGTCTATTGATGTTTTCTAAATATAGCCTTTTACTTCCTTAGCAGTCTTCAGACAAACTCAATTTCCAGGGAATTTATAAGAAACCAGGAGAGAGGAATTACTCCTCTGCTCTGGGCCAGAAACTCTACTGGGAAAGGCATATCATGCCATAGTGGTGTATCTATGCTTATGAAGGAGTTCATTTGCAGTGGGGCACACAGTCACTCTGTCAGGGATAGCATGACCTCTCTCAAAAGCACAGATGAGCAACACCCTAAAACCATTCAAAATATAGGGGAAGGCATAGTCTTCAAGGTCCTGATGTCACACAGAGGATGGCTTTGATAAATTAAATGACCAACTGTCTATCATGAGTTTTTGCTGTGCAGCTTGAAGAAAAATCATCCCAGCTCTATTTTGAGGCTTTCCAATAACAAAAAGGGTGAGAGCATAAATATGTAATATTTAAGATAGAAATAATGAGAGCCAACTTTCTGAATATTAATTCTTGGCTAGACTCTATGCTAAGAACTTTTAGTGTGACTCTTTATTTAGACTTTCTAATAACTTTAGGACATAGGAATGACTATCCCCAAGACTATATGATGGTTGGAGCTCTTGCTCTGAACCAGTAAACCTCTGCAGCAGGTTTTGGTTCCAAGCTCTGTCAAACAGCTCACCAAATTTCTAGACCTGGAAAAGGCCCCTAAAATACACTTAATTGCAAAGGAAACTGCATACCCAGGAAGATGTGCCTTGCATAAGATCACTAAATAAGTGAGCCACATTGCCACTGGTGAACCTGTCTGCAGCCATGTAGAACTGTCTAGAATTCAGGCTGCAGTTCTTAGTTGCTGGTTGCTCTAAATGGTACTTTTTCTCCTTTCTTAATTTTTTTTGATGTGTCACAAACCTAGGTTACATCACTATATGTCACGAGCAAAGACTTCTAATCATTATTTTACTCAGTAAATGATGTCATATTCAAAATTACATTAATTTTCACTATAATTGCCAAACTAATGTTTATTTGGGAATTAAACCCAAGGTTTTATAAATCTTACATTGCTCATGTGATGCCCTCTGAGTGTTCAGAAGGCAAAGATAATATCTTCCCCTGAGCTATCACAGTGTCTTCTCATACACGAGCCTGGACTCACGGTGGATTGGTCCAACACACCTGTATCCACTCATATAACAGCACTGATGGAGTCCTTAGCATATGTCAGGTACTCTTCTAGGTGTGGGTTTACCACCGTAAATAAAACAATTGAGGTCCCTAGCTTCTTGAAAGTTACCAAGTCTAGTAGGGAGAACAAACCTCAAGTAAACAAGCAAACAAATAAAAGTATAATTGCAAGCTACGTGCCATGGGAAAATGTAATCACTTGATTGAAAACTTCACCAAAACAACTACATAGGTCACTTTCCTTTCCCCAGGCTACATTCATCTTAAGGAAAAGCTTAGGGAGACTCTTCCATATCCCTAAAATGAGAGAACAGAGTAGGATCAATGGATGGGCAGGTGATTTAGGGTCACACACTCCAGGCTTTTACCTGTTGCTTAGCCCAGGTCCTCAACTCTGAGACCTTTATGTCCAGTAGCATCTGAACGGGTTCTCAGAGGTTCATACTCACAGATGCCCATTTTATGAAGGAAGGCCCCAAATTTCTTGCTCTTCCCACACACCTGGATAAAGGACAGAATTTGTTCTCTATAATTAATTTTGCTCCAGGATCCTAGTAAAATATTCTGCTACGGAACAAAGAGCATCTCTGACCCATTGCTCGTATGATGTGTGTGTCTCTTGTTTTGGACAATGGGGTTCCTTAACAGCACACTCTGATCTCAACAACTGATTGTAGCTGCCAATATACAGCAGGGGTTGGGAGAGAGATTTGTCCCCTCCTGACTCCCACAGAGTTGAGCCAGGGATAGTAATAAGACAGAGGCCCAAAGCAAAATAAAGATTAGTCATTGCTCTGCACATTGTTCAAACAGGAGGAGCCACTGAAAAGCTCTGATTTTGAGTGGTTGAAGAAAAGCACACTCGCTTCTCAGTTAACATATGTTCAGCACTGATTTGAAAACTGCCATTTGAAATGAAAAGAATACTGGATAACAAAGCCACAGAATCCAGAAAGGTCTCAACAACTTAGCACCAATATTAATTTTAACATTAATTAAAACATATCATAATTTACACATACACTAGGCTAAAGTACCTTTACCAAAGTCATGCATACAAGTTATTTAAGCCATTATCAAAGCTAACAAGATTGTAAGGGAAATGTTTTATCAAACCAGGGGACAAACTCTTAAAGCACTTTAAACTGAGGCACATTATTTTTGAAATAATTCATGTGCTCTTTTTACAAATCATTTAAATATAATCATTTGATAACACTTTGTTAGTCTTTGCTACTCCATGTATAATCAGAATTTTTTTTTTATACTGCCTAGCTAATTACTGAAATTTATCAGGTCTAAAAATTAACTCTAATGTTAAAATTTGAGAATAATTTCACATGGTAGGATGTACTGGTCCCACCTTAATTGGGACTCATTTGGGCCACCCATTTTCCCCACACCTTTCCTACTTATTTGGTAAGTTACTGGCTCTCCAGGAAAAAAAAAAAAGTCACATTTCTCTTATGTCTCATCAGTAAAAGATGAGACTTTTCCAGCTCATTTGTCAAGTTGCCCTCCAGATCTTTCATGTATAATCACCCATAATTCACTGTAATTTCACTCTTCAGTTTCCAGCGCCCTCTCTTCCAACCCTTTCTCAAAGGACATGTTCTCAAAGTGATTTCTGCAAGGAACCACTCTTTCCATGGGGGGCAGAGTCGGGGTCTGAAGAGCTCTTCCTCCTTAAGTGGAATAGCCTTCTGCCCTCCCCCATGAGTCCCAGAGAGAACAGCACAGGGATTTGAGGGAATCTCTTGCATGAGAAGAAGGAGCCTCCAGGCTTGCTGGAGTGTAAGGTGGGGAGAGGAGGTCACACTGTGAGGAGCCTTGAGCCTTGCTAAAGTGTCTGGGACTATTATTTGGTAGGCAATAATAACTAAAATTTAATATGCACTTGCTAAGTATTTAGCACTATATCAGACACTGAATATATTTTATCTTGTCTCTCACAAGACCAAAACACAGTTATTTTTAATTCCCGCTATGGATGAGGAAATAGAGAGACAGTTAAGGCAGCGAGTAATTCGCCATGCTGGGATTCAGAACTAAGTCAGGCTCTGAAATCTACGTCCTTACTTGTGATGTTACAGTGCTTTTTCAGATGGGAATCACAGGGGGTTTTAACCAAAAAAGGAACAGCAAAAGAAAGCAGTTCCTGAGCTCAAATATTGACCTATCTATCCTCTGTTAACCTTAATCAGTCTAGGGTCTGCAAGGGTTCATGGAAAGAAAAAGGTACAGATGGAATAGCAAGATGGACAGGGTCAGGGACGCCCTTCTTAATCTGGTCCATATGTCTTGTCTGTCTCTAAGCAGAGACAGATGGACCTGTAGGCTGAGGAGAGATCCACGCCAGGCCCCCAAGTTGAGTTTACAGGGGTTAATGGCTTAGAAATAACTACAACAACAGAGGTAGAAGGAAGTTTAATGTGACAGAGAAAGCCCCTAAACTTGAAATAAAAAGCACCAGTTGTTTAAAACTGGTTTTGCAACTAGTCCAATGAGTCAAAGTAGTTAAAGTCTCCAGCAATCTGCTTCTCAACTATAAAACTTTTGAGTGATAAATCAACTAGTGAGAAAGCACTTTAAAAATTCTAAAGACCCATGGAAATGATAGTTTACCTCTTTGCGTTGGCAATTCTAGTCTCCAGAGAAAAGTCTAGAACCTGTGAGGTAAGGCTAGGTCATCTATTTGTGTATTCTTCTTCCTCACCCATACCTCAGCATTGCTTGGGGTCTCCCATGAGCCCTAAATCCTTTGTGACTCTGCCAACTTTCTTGGCTCTGTGACCAGGGCACTAACTCTATGCTAAGTGGTTAGTGCATAGTACTTTCCTTCTTGCAAATGGATCTCAGTGAGCTCCCTGTACACATTCAGCATTGCTCCTGAAAACTTTCCCCTTTGCAAACGCTGCACCATGCTGTAACTGGAAGGTCTAAGCACTGAGGAGCAGGAGGCAGCAAAGCCCCTTACCTCTCCTAGCAGTTTTGTTATTTGGTCTGGGGAATGGTGATTTTGCTTCTTAGTTCACATTCTGTACATACCCTAGATCCCTCATGTGCTGATCTTCCCGAGAAGGCCTTGGTGCTGGAAAAGTCCAGCCAATACACTCCCCTATGCTGTGGCTCTGTGAGTGTGGATAAAGCATATGGCTTGCAGGTCACACGATCTGAGCGGATCCTTCCCTAGTCCCATCATGACATCTGCTCTGGGCTATTCTAAAACTTACTTTTAAATCCGGAGGGCACTGTGGTGGATTTCTACTCATCCTGCAGGACTGCGCTGTTCCTCCATCTGTGAAGGCTTGCCTCACATGCAGGGTGTTTCTTGCATCTGAGGCTGGTTAGCCAAATTGTTGGCTACTATGTGAATGGGGCTGTGTTCCCTGACTGGACCATCTCATTTTGCTTGGTTATGTGGCCACAGGCTGAGGTCCATTTATAATCAACCATCTCCCAAATTTGTGCTTGTTAATAATGAGAATTGCTTGGGCATTCACA